CGCTCCCTTTAAACCCTGAGCAACCTCTTCCCCCCAAAAAGAACTGCCATCCGCTGGCTGATGCTGAAGTCGTGTGTGGGTGGAGAAGAAGTGAGATGAGCAAGAGAATGAGAAGGATTGGAGGCGAAGGATCGACACTAATTGAATCCCCTTATCGCCCGGCTGAAGACACACGAAGCACTACCCGAGAAGGTCTTCTGGAATATACTGGCAGTAAGGGCAGAAAGGGGGCTGGAGAGGATGGCACTGTCGCTTTAGTGCTGCTGTTGGAGAAAGTGAGAAATCAGGAAAACGGCTACACTCCTATCGACAGGGCGAAAAATAACAGAACGAAAAGTTGTTTAGACTGGAAGGAAGTTCGAAAATGTTGTCGCCAGTGTTGTAGATAGTTGTGCAGCGGAATTTTTTGAGAGTGAGTGAGAAAATGAGGAGAGGAGGGAGAGAGAGAGAGAGAGAGAGAGAGAGAGAGAGAGAGAGGGAGGGAGAGAGACACCGAGGCCATATGATGCGCTCATCGAAAGGGTTCAAATTGAATCGGCAACGAGCTGAGAATAGTTATTCTCTGGGGAACATATCGACCATGGGGTAGAGAAAAAGAGAAAATTCCAAGTTTCGAAATTTCGGAAGAAGCGGGGAAGTTCTTAGCGTAGAGGGAGGGCGAGAAACAGAGAAAGAGAGAGAGAGAGAGAAAGAGAAAGCGAGTGTGTGTGAGAGACCCGGATTTCGGCTTCGCGGGCCCTTTCATCGAAAAATCGGGCACTGGCCGGCTAGCAGTGAGGCTTTGCAAGGTTTTTAAGAGGATCGTGGAAGCAAAAACTATCTCGGTCGTTGGCTCTACCTGTCTAGTTCTCGCTGTCGCTGGTTTTTCTCACTCTCTCTCTCTCTCGCTCGTTCTCTCTCACCCACTCACTCTCTTGCTCTCCTTCTGCTAAAATTGGTTCAGTCTATGGAAATTCCATGATCCCGACTACCAAATTTTTTGATAAGAACCCGTAATTGTAGTTTCAAACCTCCAAAACCACCATAAACCTCGTCCACTACCAAAAATCGAGCCCAAATTCAGAAGCGGAAGCCCCGAGTCCCCGGCAGTCAGCCCCACCCCGTCCACCCCCAACAGCCCGGATCTAATGGAATCTGCAAGCGGGGAGGCAGAGCGCTTTCCGGGGGGATCAGAATATGGGCAATTTAGGCAGGGAGGAGAAGCCGTGCCGGAAAAACAGACCCCGGGGGGAAAGGGGAGGTAGAGCTACTGGGTGATGCTCAAAAAGAAGAGGTTGATGGGCCGAGTGCCCAAATTACAAGTGACAGGGAGGGGCAGGACGTCTTCGAGGTAGACACAAATTGGATGGGTCGATGGCTGGATTCGAGGAAAGATAGTGAGGGGGAACTGGCAGAGACCATTTGGGGAATAGTGACGAGAAAGAAATAGAGCGAGAGAATGGAAGTGAGAAAGAGAGAGCGAGCGAGCGAGAGAGACACAGAGACAGAAAAAGCGAGAGAGAGCGAGAGAGAGGGGCGAAAGATGCAGAGCGACAGAGAAAGAGAGAGAGAGAGAGAGCTAGATAGAGATAGAGAGACGTAAAGAAACAGAGTTGTTAACTGCAAAAACCCAACTGAAAAAGGCCAAAATTGCTCGAATTATTGGGAGGAGTGATGGCGGCGGCCTGATGGGGCGCGAAAAATTGCGCTTCTTTGATGTGCGGGTGGGTGTGTGAATTTTTTATAATGGCGAGTGAGGGAAAGAGGGAACAGCCCCAATTAGGCTGTAGGAGAGAGCGTGAGAGAGCGAGCGAGTGAGAGAGAGAGAGAGCACGAGTGAATTAGAAATGGGCGACGCAACGGGGGAAGGATAGGGAAAAGATGTGTGCCCTAGAGGGCTATGAAAGTTGACTGAGGAGAATTTCACGCAAAAATTGAGGTTTGTAGCGTATAAAGTGTGCTTAAAGATCTCTGCTAGCTTGCCCTGGGTGGCTAACAAAGATATTTCTTTATGGCAAAAAATTGAGCAAGAAACGATCGTTTCGCTTAGCTTTCTCTCCCACTTTTTCTCTCTCTCGCTTTCTCACTATCTCTATCTCTCTCTATCTCTAGCCCTCAGTATCCATAACTTCACAGCCCCTTTAAAATTAGCTAGCCAGCCTCGAAAAACAAGTGGCCGTCTGGAGACGGAATATCCGGAAATGGGGGCGAGTTATAGGGTGTGAAGGGGATGGGATCGGGGGGAGGAAGACTCTAGAGGGGAGGAGGCAGATTGAGCCAATGAATATTTCAACAAATGAAGCTTCCCGAGGGCCCGGCTGGGTAGAGAGCAGAAGGGGGGCAAAGGGGAAAACTTCCCGGATGGATCGGAGGGGCAGGGCCAGGTGCCTTCTGAGGGATACCTGGAAACCCGGGAAAATTCCAGAAAAATACCGACAGTCAAAATCTCGACTTCTAGAATCCCGACAGTCGAGAAAAAATACCGACAAGAAATCACGACACCCAAAATCCCGACAGCCAAGCTCTCGCAAGGCTAAAATACCGACAAGCAAAAATTGGCATCAAACGATACGCGATTGCGAAGACAAAGACGGTGCAAGACTACTGTAAAAACCTTTAAAAAATCTGAAAATTGATTCACCGGCACCGACGGCTTTTTTGGGCTGTTTTGACCCTTGATTGGGGTATAAAGGGGGGCAAAGAGTTTGGGGTGGGTCGGGGAACAGCTGACCCGATCTGGGCCCCCATCAAATTGTGGGTGGTGACCCAGGTAGAGGCCCAACCCGAGTAGTAAACGAAAAGCTCTGAGGATACCAATATTGATAGGGAGAAGGTAAATGGAAACTAAAGCTTTCTATCTCTCAGTCACCCAATCCCTCTCTTACTCTCGCTCTCTCTCTCTCTCTCTCTCGATCTCTCGCATACTCTCTCTCGCTTACTCGACCTCTCACTCTATCCTACTATTTCTCTCACCTTCTTTCTCTTCCTCGTTCTCTCACTTTGTTTTCTTATATCACTCATTCACCTACTCTCTCACTCTCTCTCTCGCTGTATGTCTCTCTCTCTTTATCTCTCGTTCTCTCCTGCTCTCTCTCCTTCTCGCACGCTCTCGCTTGGGCATTCTCAGGCCCTTAATTTATGAAACCGTTCGAGATTGAACATTCAACATTATAGAGAGCGAGAGAGAGCGCGAGAGAGAAACGCAGCTAGAGCCAGTCTTAATCTCAAAATTCGACAAGCAAGTAAAGTTGTATCGCCAGAACACCAGTTTTCCACCCAACCAGTTGATTTTTTATTGGGCAATGGAGGGAATGTGGGGTGGGGAGGGGCAAAAAAAATGGATGGGATAATGGGTCTCCTCGTATCGCGTCGACTAAATGACTCTCTTGGGAATTTGGCAGGATTTTTGGCAGGCTTTTTCGAGCAGGAGGAGGGCAGGTGGAATAGCTTCAATAATTGGGCAGCAGTGTTTGCATTGGAACTCAAAAATCGCAGGAAGAAAGGAGGGGAGCAAGAGATAGCGAGAGAGCGGAGTGAGCGAAAGAGTGAGAGAGGGAGAGAGAGAAAAAATGAGAGAGGGGAACTTTTCGGTCGCTTTAAAGCAACCAGGCACACTTTCTCTCTCTCGCTCTCGCTTTCTCTCTCTCTTTCTCGCTCTCTTTCTCGCTCTCTCTTTGTCTCTCTCTCGCTTTGATTGAGTATTAAGTATCCTACAGTAACCCACAGCAGGCAAACCATCCGGGAATTTTAACCAAATCTTCCAAAAAACTCTGCAAAACCCATGACACCCAAAATCAGTGGCCCCTCCGGGCTGAGAGTGCGCCTCGCCAAAAAAACCTGGATACTCATTTCGGGTGACAAGCCATTTTTGGGCCCGAGAGGAGGGGGAGGGGCCAAAGGATTGAGAGGACAAGGGGCCACAATTAGGGCCCACGATGGGGCCACGGCTTCGATATGTTGGCTTGAGAGGGAGAGGAGGAGGAGCCGCGAAGCAGAAAATGATGCCAGATTGCCGCCACGAGGATTGGAAGGATCTGGCGAGAAAAAAGAGCGGAAAGGTAAGGCCAGAAATGACTAAAAAAAGCTGAAAAATAGGGTAACACGGCCGTCAATTGTGGATTTTGAAAATTTGAGGGTTCGATGGGAAAGTTTTGTAAAAAAACACGCTAAAATCCATGGTTTCATGATGGCGCTCACTCTCCCGCTCATTCTCTCTCTCTCCCTCTCGCCCTCTCTCTCTCTCTTGCTCATTTTTCTATGCATCTCTCTCTGTCTGTCGCTATCTCGCTCTATCTCTCTCTCTCTCTCTCTCTCTAACTTTAAGCCCAGAAGGCTACAGAAAAATCTAAAACTTAGAGGGGCGATAATTTAGAGAGCGACCGAGAGAGAGACAGAGAGGGAGAACGAGAGAGAGAGAGAGAAAAAGAGAGAGCCAGAGAGAATGGGAGAGAGAGCGAGAGAGAACGAGCGGAGCATAACAGGCGTTTCGGTCACACTGAATAACGTCCCTGGCATTTCACTACACTTTTAAAGGTATGTTGAAGGCAAGGTATCCATTTTTCCGGCCACTTCCCCTCATTTCCGTGCTGGCACCGTCCCTTTAGGCTTCACCCCCCGTTCCTTGAAGAGAGACGCCTGTCACATTGGTGGTTTGGTGGGGTTGTTTTGGTTGACCCTGCCTCCCTCCACTACTCCGCGCACTTTACACCCCTACTGGCCGATTGGTGCCAGCCTCTCTGCAAATCCCCCCATTTCCACGACCCACCAATTTGCACAATAGTCTCCTGTTTCTGGCCGCACAATGTTAAACCTGGCTCTTACTATATCCGAGCCTTTAGAGATACCGAAGCTTAAGCCTAAACCTCTGTCTAAGCCTAAACCTAATCCCAAGTGGTATTTCCTATTTTTTGTAAATAAAGCCCGTTTATAAGACTTTGTGCTTTTTTTACCTTTTCAGATTTATCGATAATATTTTTGTTCATGCCTTAAAAAGACTTACCTGTAAAATCCGATAATTCAGAATGTCCAAAGATGGATATCTCCGCGAAATTATGAATCGGTGAGTATTACAGTATCAGGAGAGGTCTTGCTCTTTTTAATCAAATTATCCTACTTTTTTGTGTATTTTAAAACCTTAAGAAAAGTTGTGCTCAGATATGAATCGGAGGAGGACGAGTTTATGCGCGAGCTCGAGCAAATGTCGCATTCGATCCGAGAGGACGAGGCATCTATTTTATCAAAAAGGTATCAAGGATATCTATTTTAATCTTATAAGAATTATAGACTAAAAATTTCATGATTTTTTATATAAAAATTATTATTACCCCCAAATCGCTATTTAGAAAGCGAAACTCGGTGCTCTGCGAACGAGACGACAGCGAAAGTGATGTGCCCCAGGATCCGCAGCCGATATTGAGTGGGTTTTCAGGATTTTTTTTGTAGCCTGAATACAGTACAGTAAAATTTACGATATACCAGCAAATGGAAATTTTTGCTTTACATGATTATGCTCTCTAAAAATCATAAAAAACCACAACTACACCATAAAAATTGCCGAAATCTCGTGATTTCCAGGTATTCCCTCTGCTACAATGGAGTTCAGGCCATAATAAAACTCTATTGCGACAACCTTCTGCCGTTTTCAGGTGTACTTTGTAGTCTCGTGGACGAGATTGGGACGCTTCGGAAGGAGAATCGAAGGTTGAAGACGCGACTGGCATTGCCACCACCCAGAATGGTGAGCAGAAGCCAAGCTCGGAAGCTAAGTTAATCTTAGGCTCAAGCCTTAGCCTGAGCCTAAGCTTAAGCCGATTCCCAAAACCCAACGAGCAAGCCCAAGCTATGCTACGCCCAATTTCCAGAACGTCATGCAACGGATGTCAACCCTACTCGACTCCCGTGGTATCTCCATCCCGAAACTTCGTAGACAACCGGAAGTCCGTATAGGGGCCCGCGAACGGTTGAGCACCCCGCCGAAAAAGGTATTGAAAGGGAATTGGCAGGAAGAATCAAAGCAGCCTTCAAGAGACCTTTAAAACGCGAAATATAGGACCCGCTGACGGCTTCTTCAATCTCAACCGACTTCTCGTATGATGGGCGACGCGATTTTAGCGTAATTCTCTTTTGCATATTCAAATATTTTGTGATTGTAGAAAAAACCGCCGATCGTGCAACCGGAAATGACGGACAGCGATGTGGAGGATACGGCTTTTGATGAGGTAATGAGAGCAAAAGAGAGAGAGAGAGAGAGAGAGAGAGAGAGAGCGAGAGAGAGAGGGAGAGAAAGAGGGAGGGAGAGTGAGAGTGAAAGGACGACTGCTTTTGAGAGCCGTGCCAGCTAGTAGATATCCTTGAAGAAATTAGGAACTCCTTCAGTCATTATCCACATCCTCTCACAAACCACGATCATCAACTCGAGGCCGAGATTTCTCAATGTCCGAATGTACATCTCCATCCAGCGCATCAAGCCGAGACCCATCGGAGGCGATGAGTAAGTTTTTAGAGAAGGGAGAGAGAGAGAGAGAGAGAGAGAGAGAGAGAGAGAGAGAGCGCGAGACAGCCAGAGGGAGAGAGCGAGAAGAGCGTTTTTTTTAGCTTCATCCCGTTCGTCCTTCTTCGAATTCATCGGGCTGAAGAAGCGCAAGGAGGTCATCAGCTCCGGTATGTGCTCAAATTAAATTATTTCTCCTTTCTTTACAGTGAGTGATCTGCTCCACCCGCCCCGCGTCGTGACGAGGCGCAAGCGGAAGGACAGCCGGGACGCTGATGGTTAGTTTTTAGCATAAAACGAATAAAAATAAGTGGCGAACAATGAGTAATCAAACCACTCTGGATTTTCATCTCAAAATTTTTTATTAAATTTTAAATGCTGCTAAAATAATGTATTCCATTTGCAGAAATCGCGAGGGAGGAAAGGCAACGTCGCCTAAAGGTAGAGTTTTTCCAATTTTTATAACTAGATTTTCTAGAATCGTCAATCCGCCCGTTTCGCCGCCGAGGAGAGCGAGGAGGACACCAATTCAATGGCCAACAAGCGAAAGTAGGTTTTAGAAAATTACGCAAAGGCCTATGCTAGTTTGCTTCGGTCTTTTTCGAGGTTTTTACAACTCTTTAAATCGAGCTTTTTAGGTCGACGTCCTATTTGACGACCGGCTACGATAAGGATCGATTCGAGAATGGTATGTCGACGTTTCAAATTAAAAAAGTAGACTTCAGGCATTTTACGGCGTTTAGCCGCTTGGAATAGATGTTTTAGCCGTTTTCATGCCAATTATTAGCCTAAAAAACTTTTCAATTCAGAAAACGTGCTCCGCGTGGACAGGGAAACGCGGCTGCGTCACGAGCGAGATTCTCTATCAGCCGAGATCGCCGAGCTCAAGGTATAAACGGAAAACTTCAAAGCGCTACAAACTACACGAAACTACGATCTAGGCTACGATCAGAATTTTTAATATAACATAAACCCCTTGAAATTAGACGCGCAACGAGCGACTCGTCGAGCAGCTGCGCGAAAAGTCCGGGCTTTTCAGCCGACAGCAGGACCGGCTGGCGGAAAGTGAGCAAGAGGTATGTTTGGGTTGAGGCTGAGGCTAGGCTGAGCTTAGGCTTAGGCTTAGGCTTGGTTGGGCTTTGGCCTAAGCCTAAGCACTTGCAAAAGAAAGCTACCTTTGTTATAGTGCGACGTTCTGCGCCGGAAGTGCCACTTCAACGAGAGCCTAGATCGGCTGAGTCTACGCGAGCGCTTCACCCACTCGCAAATGGGTCTTTTTGGGAAGGTGAGTACAATCGAGTTAAAAGATTTAAACCGATTTTATCACCGCCTTAGACTTTTTTAAGGTGGAAGATCGACTGCGCGAATTCGAGTCGAACCTGCAACAGAGCCGAGCCGAGATCGCCTCCCAGGACCAAATGGTAGTTTTTCAAGCGTATAAGTTGTGGGTTGTAGCCTTCGCTTAGATTCTTTACTTATTGGGAATTTTAGGCAAAAAGAGCCGTCGTCTCCGACCAGGCCGCATATCGCTCGATGGTTGAGCAGGTCGAGCGCGTACAGCGCGAAAATCTGCGTCTCACTCAGAAATGTCTGAAAGGTGAGAAAGAGCTCGAGCTGTCGATATTTTGGTGGTTTTCAAACGTTTGAAAAACTTTAGCCTAAAAAAGTACCTTTAGATGCCCATATCGAAGACGGGGCCCTGGCCAGAAAGTTGTCGCTCCTCCCCTCCTACGATGCGCTGTACGCCTTTTCAATGGGCATGGTCAAAAAGGTTGGCTCGCAGTTCTTCACCCTAATTTCCTTTGCTTGCTTGCCCTCATGGCAGGTCAGCAAAGAACCCTAGGGAAATCCAAAACCTAAATTCCAGCTCGGCGAGCTCCGATCGGCGCTGCACGACAAGTCGGGCGAGTTGAGCCGCGCCGAGCTCGATCTGATCGCCGCTCAGAGCTCGTTGCTGATCACCCACACACAGGTTTGGATTTTGGTGCGGTGGAGAAGGAGGCTTTCAGATTGAACGGCTTCGTCTTCAGCTTCATCTATGTGGACGCACGATACGGAGGGCGGCCAGCTTCCACGGGGACGATTTGGTCGAACGGAATGTGGGTCTATGGAGAGGAGCTAAGCACAAGCCAACCCCAAGCCCAAGCTAAGCTAACCCTAAGCCAAGGCTAAGTCTAACCCAAGCCTAAGCCAAGCCTAAACCTGAGCCTACGCCCAAGCCAAAGCCTAATAAGCCAGCCGACTTTCAAACCGATTTCGCCATGTTTAGGCAAAACGTGAGCTGCACTTCTTGCTCCCCTTCAAACTCCAGGGGTCGCGCCTCGAGAATTTGCGACGCCAGAACCGCAAGCAGGTAAGAGAAAGACATACGCATTTCTGAAAAAAGCACCTTTTAATCGAGTACGACTACGACCTATCTTCCCTAGGCCCAATCCGCGCCCACCTTCGAGAGCGAGCGAGCGCTGGAGCACGAGTTCTTGAATCTGTTTGGATACGCGCAAAGTAGGAAAAGTCAAGCATAGCAAACAAGCTTCCTTAGGCTTGGCCCACATTGCCGACCGCCCCGATCCGAGCCCGAAATCGAGGGACCATGGGACAGCTGTGGTCACTCGCCATGATACAGCTTGTCGAGAGCATCCGGTAAGCCTAATTAAATTTTAATTTATTGAATTAATAAAATACAGGAGAGAAGCGACTAACCGTGTTATCTCACCCCCCCCGCTAACGCACCAGAACAATTTTTAGCAGCCCCCATGCCTCCGCCAACGCCAACGAGCCCACGAACGCTTGTCGCAACGTGAGCGCGAGGGTCAGCGGCGCCCGATCAGCCTCGTCGAGTTGGAGGAGCGCAGGCAGCGCATTGTTGATGAACAACGGAGAAGCATCCTCGTCAAGGCGCCCGAGAAAAGGTACATTTTTGACACTACACTGTCTAACTGGTGTCAATTCTAAGGCAAGAAGCTGTGCTCTCGCTACAAGATGTATCTTCACCTCCAAGAAGTCCTCTAGCCACTCCGCTGTCCATTCGAAGACGTACACTAGTCAATAGTGGAAGACGTAAGCATCTGAAAAAAAATTAGTTTAGCTTGTTTTAAAAGGAGTTCGTTTTACGTATTCCGTTCCCAAATTTCCAGAAAAATTCCCTCTTTTAGCCAACTCTTCTTTTGCTTTCTAGCTTCTTCTTGCTTCTTTCTGCTTCTAACGCTTTTTCAGCACCAGACTCCCCAATAATTGGCGAGCGGAAGGAGCGCCGGCTGGAGAAGCAGCGATCAATTGATGTAGAAGGTTAAACGAACCCCCAAAACCGCTTGAAATCGAGAATTCTAGTGCTCAGACGAAGCGAACTTCGACAGCAATCGACGGAAAAGCCGCCGGACCCGCGACCGATCAATGAGGTTCGACAGGATTCATGAAAAAAATCACTAAATTTTTAAAGAAAAACTTATAATAAAACGACAAAAAAAACTAATTTTTCAGCGAAAGCCAGAGCGCAAAATCGAGCGCGTTCCAAGCGATCGCGCGCCGAACCCCACCCAGAATAAGGACGATTTGAAGGACGATGGTGAGCGCCAATTAAAAACTAGCTAATTTCCTTAAAACCTATAATTTCCTTTCTAGGTTAACTTGCTAACCTCGTTTAAGGTCTATATTCTAAGTTAATCTTCTTAACGCGAAAAATTCAGCCCTTGTCGCCTATCGGCCATCTTCACGACTCCAGCGCAGCGCTCCGGTCAGCCGCATCCGCCCTCCGCACGCCACGTTCAGACCGGTCAGCAGAAACCGAGCGAGAAACTGACCAGCAGAGATTCTTGGGGAATTTGCACTCCACTTGATAGGTCTATAAAATAAGGCTTAATTTCAGAAAGCCCCCGATTCGGCGTTCCACGCCACCGGAATGCCGACGCCTAGACCAAAAGCCAGAACGTTGGAATATCCGAGGTAAAAAATCTTTAAAAAATTCCACAAAGAGAAATTGTAAATAATTAGTTTTTTTAGCGCCCTCCGCCATCCATCGCCACCGTGTGCCCCAGTAATTCCGGCGCACCTTAGCGGCTCCTTATCGCCCACCCAGGTAATTCCTAATCGGTTCTGGTCTGTTAGCGGGGGGGGGGGGCGGGTTAGCCGGTAACTTTATATGGCCTCTAAGCTCCTAGGGGTTTCCTAGGGGTCAGCAGTTTTTTTGTCAAATCCGAAAAGTGACGAATTCACAAATTTCTATTAAAATACAAAAATTTGGATTTTCCGCGACAATCTCATGAAAAAATTATTACAAGCTGAAAAAATGTTGTTTTTTGGTTAAAATCATGTTTGCAATCTCCGAAGGATTTTCAATTAAATTTTACTCTTGAAAAACCACCATTACAAATTCCACAAAACTCAAAAAAATCGACGGACAGTATTGTAGGCTAGATCGCCCCCCCCCCGCTATCAGTCTAGCACCCCCGAATCTGCCGCCTCTAAAGCAAATTTTACAGAGCGCCTCTCGGTTGCCGAAACCCGAAAAGCGGAGCTGGATCGAGCGCCTGAAGCAGATGAAGAAATGAGTAGTATTTTGTAAAAAAGGTTCAATACGTACTTTAATTCGATAAAGATAAATAAAAACAGTTTCTCTCTTCCCAGACACGCCTTATTTCCAGCGCAAAACCCCTCCCCCCACGGACGTCTCATAATCTCGACGCGCGCATCTAAATAGGACACAGCGCGAGAATTCCGGCCGGCCAGCTTCATCCTCCCCGCCACGCCAAACCGCCGAGTTCGAGGCTCTTTTCCTTCTAATTTCTAAAGAACTTCGCGCTAACCTCAAGGATGCAACTCCGGAAACACTTATCTACTCTTTTTCTCGCCTTGTCGCTGATGGTAGCCATTCAAGCATGCGAGCTGAAAATTAAGGTAAGGAATCAAAGTCTTACAATTTAAAAACAGAACTAGAAAGAATAGAATTAGAATTAAAAAGATTAAACTAAAAACTATTAAAATTTGGGAAAAATTGTGATTTTTAGTCAAAGTTTTATGAAGAGTCTTCGAAATTGCAAAAAAAATATTAGCTCTACCTAATACATCTACCTACACTACACCTAAAAATCTACTAAAAATAAGTGGGTAAATTAGTGATTAAAACTACTAAAAACGCTATAAAATCCGCTATAAAACGTGCAAAATCGGCTAGCTTGGCTTAGGCTAGCTATCGTCCCTGCAACAGCCTAGAACCAAAGATTCTCTCCCCCAAATGTCTCTGCTAGCATCCCCTTCAATTCCATCAAAACCAAATGCCAGATTCGCTCGCATTACCCCGGCAAAATGTTTGTCGCTGCCGAATTTGCCGATGGCTCGACGAAAATCTTAAAACTCTCCCGCGCCGGAAAGTCTCGAACCGTCAATTTCTCTGCCCCACTTTGCGGCCTCTACATGACCACCATGAAGACGTTCAGGTAAGTGAACGATCTATTTGTCAACTCGATAACTGCAATTTTAGCAAAACCCCACGTGGACTAGACGGGGTCCCGCCAATCAGCCAGATCGAGCATGGGCTTGATGGAAAGGGCACTGTCCAATATGAGGTTAGATATGTAGCCCTTGGCCTTGTTGAAGCTTCATCATTTAGATCGACGAATCTGGGGAGATCCGGCTGACCGATCGCGATCTGACCGTTTGGTGTGCCTTTGGGAAATGCCCACTGCCAAAAATCGCCGACAATGCTATTAAAATGCACTAATAAACTGTAATAATTTATCTTCCTATAGATACAAGGTGTCCAAAAAAACTCTAGATTTCCGTGGTCATATCCGAATTTTACGATGTTTATATTTACTACCAATTTCGGACGCCGCCCGCGTAACTGCATTAGCACCAAACCATCTTCTCGAAAAGCAGCAGAAATTCGGCCGTCTCGAAAAATCTTAACAAATATAAAACAATCTCCAAAAACGGAGAGAGCAGATTTTCTGAACTCGTGGAGAGCTTTCCGTAGATACCTAAATCGTAAAAATTAGACACGACGGAGGACCGCTAGTCGCTTTTCGAGATACCCTGACCGAGATATCATTACGAAACCGGACGTGAAACAGCCAAATCAGAGGACACATGTCACAATGGCGAGAGCTATGCGGCTTTCCCCCTCAATTACAGATAGGTATGGCGCCAAACCGACAATTGTACGGGGGTGAATAACATGTTGGTCCAGCCAGGACCAAAAAGAGTACGCTCGCCACCAGCATGAGCGCCGATAATTTTAACGAGCCACGCCGCGTGCCGCTTCCAAAAAAAATCCTTTACAGACTGTGATCAAGGGAAGGCGCGTCACAATGAGTCGCCACATTTTTTTGTCCAAATCCAATAGATTCCTCGTCACTGCTAGTTTGTGGCTGAAATCAAAAGTACAACAATTGGCACTTGACTGTTAGCGGGGGGTAGCAGGGCCTTTGCTTAGCTCCTCATAGGGCTCTATTACTGAAAACGCCCTTGTAGGCATAGAAAATTCATAGCAAATTATTATAATCCTACAAAAAAGGTGATTTTTGGTGGAAACACCGACACCAAGCTGCACAACACGTTCCACACGAGGTAACCTTCCCGCAAAATCTCCATTCTCCGAAGGCACGTGCCCACCCAAAACTCTCGTATGCAGGTCTTTGAAACCCGGTCGAAAATAGAGAAATTTTGCGCCTGCACATTCGAGAACCCTTTCCCCATCCCCCGGTAGCAAAGATCATTCCGCAGCTTTGAAAAATTGCTGCACGCAAGAGCAGCATGGCAAAAGCCACAGGATTTATGCAAATTGTCGATCATAAAATCGGGAGTTCAAGTGGGAACTGTCACAGGTCAGACTCGGGCCGTTGTGTGAGGATTAAAAGTAACCCCCACCCTCGCCCATAAATAGAGCTCGGAAGCTTTGGTGCCCCCCAAAAATGATAGCGCCTGTTTCCGTCTTTTTTCCATCCTTGAAATCAACAAAATCCACAGCGTTGTACAACCTATCCCACCAACCGCAATATTTATAACTCTGTAGTCCTGATCTATATATAAAGCTTTTCACGCCAAATAGGGCAGCACCAAAGTAACAACTCCCACCGGGAGCACGCCCGCTAGTATGCCCTTTGGTTATCCTCCAAAGAGTCTAGGCAGATCGTGTTTTAATTTTTAACCGGGCAGCCCTTTCGAAAAGTCCCTGTTTTCTAGATCCTCAGATGGCTCACACGAACTTGGCTGAAAATTCTCATTTCAGATACAATCAAAGATGCAAACAACTACCACTACTTTACTGTCATTTGCAACTGTTCTAACGGTCGTATATTCGTGTACCATGACATCGACAATCGTCAATGATTCTATGGAAGACATTACTGTGCAATACACATTTTCCGACGGCTCCAAGTCTGCATTGTAGGTTTCACTAGTAGATCTACCTGAAAGGTTGATATGCGTCTACGACTAGGCCATGCATGTTTTAAGAATCCCGTTTACGGATGTTGATGTGCAGCGTCAGCCAATCAACGGGTCGCAATGTGGTGGTGCAGGTCCACTCATCGTCACAGTATATCGAGGAGCCGGTGACTACATGGTCGCGACGGTAAGAAAGGATTTTTCACTGTAAATCTTATTTAGCCAGCCGGAAGGACAAGCGCTCATTGGGTAGGCGATGGAAGGGTTAGCTTTTTGGTAAGCCGGTAGAAATTTCCGAAAATACTTATTTAGATCAATAGCGCATTCCAACCGTATCCGTGGAGTCGTGCTGGTTTACTTTGTTTCCTAGGAGAGTGCGGTACGAAGCATTTCTTGTAACCCTATTCTAACTTTTCAGGCGCTTGGTAACTTCTTCCACTGATCACCCGGAAAACTCACAAAAACTATCGAAAAGCTGATAAAAAATCATTACACATCGTTCACAATTTGCATTTATCGTTAACTGCAAATCACTTATTAAACCCTTTTATTCTCCAACATCAATGGCAAAACACTTAATCACGTGCAGAGAACGAACGGCAACACTGCCCAAAAGAACTAGGCAGGAATCGGAGAGCGAAGTGAAAGCATTGCCAACTAATTATTGGCGCTACTTAAGTTTGCTGGCCCCACTTATATATGGCCAAAACCTCATTTTTCTGGTTCAGTTTTTTGCGCTGATTACGGAAAACACTATCCCAGCCCACGAAAATGAAATCGTGAATTTTGAGGGGAGAAAACACTTGATTTTCGATTTTTCTGGTTTGAGTTTTTAAAGGGGGTCAACCCGGTGTTTTGATGCGGGAGGCCTATAAAACAGTGGAAAAGCTTTTTCCAACGAGGCTGAGCGATTGCATCCGCTTTTTTTCCTAAAAATAAGGCTTCGTGCCACCCCGGGGCCTAGTCGCTTCGGATGGGTGCGAGCTCGTACAGGGTTTCGAAATCGGGGCGCCCGAGGCGCGCGAAGCGGCCAGGCGCCCCGATTTCGAAAGAGTGGAGCGGCAGCCCATCCGAAGCGACGGCCCGCCTTGCCTGACAATGCTACTGGCTGACTTTATTCATGATAAACCCGTTTTTGGCCATTATTTAATTAAAAAACCACAAAAAGGCTCCTTTTACGCGACCGCCGTAAAATGGAATTTTCCCGACTTTCCAATTAAATTGTTTTACTAAATCGCATTTTCGTGGGCTGGGATAGTGTTTTCCGTAATCAGCGCAAAAAACTGAACCAGAAAAATGAGGTTTTGGCCATATATAAGTGGGGCCAGCAAACTGAAGTAGCGCCAATTATTAAATGAAACCCGAGCAATTAAATTTTGGTGATAGGCAACTCATGGGTGGGATCTGACTAGTAATCAAGCGCTATAGTAACGGGAAATGTTCAATTGGCCTTGAGCTGGTTCGACAGCCATTCCAGTCCTTCATACAGGCCGTCGCCAGAGGTGGCGCACGTCGACTGAATGTACCATCGGCGGTTGTTCATTGTGTGTAGTCCCAGCTTATTCGTCACTTCGGAGGCGGTCATGGCGTTGGGCAAATCTTGTTTGTTGGAGTAGATGAGCAGCAGGGCGTCATGGAGCTCCTCTTCAGCCAACATCCTCATCAGCTCCTCCCGTGCTTCTCCGATTCGCTCGCGATCATTCGAGTCGACGACAAAGATTACGCCTTGAGTATTCTAAAAATCAATTGAAAGATGGGCGCGAAAAATCACCTGGAAATAGTGCCGCCAGAGTGGGCGAATCTTGTCTTGGCCGCCGACGTCCCATACTGTGAAGCAAATGTTGCGGTATTCGACTGTCTCGACGTTGAAGCCGATGGTTGGGATTGTGGTGACGACCTCTCCGAGTTTAAGCTTGTACAGTATCGTAGTCTTTCCAGCCGCGTCCAATCCGACCATCAGAATGCGCATGTCCTTCTTCCCGAAGAAATTCTGGAGTAGCGAGGCGAAGACATTGCCCATGGTCGCGGACGTGGATCCTGTAAGAAGAAAATTTGAAACGCAAGATGAAGAATCGAAAGGAAAACTTAGAATTTGAAAGAATCCGTAAATGATGATGTTTCTAATATAAAAACTGAGGAAAATTGCAAATACGTTTGTTGAAATTCAGAAATTCCGAAAGCTACGATCGTAGCTTTCGTACGAGCCACGCCGGTTCCGTTGCATTTCGTTGACGCTTTTGTAATGGTGTATCTCGTACTATTAGGTTGGAACATACTCGGTTAGTAAAGCGCCCGCGGGCGCGCCCGAAATTGCGCCCGCGGGCGCGCTCACGGGCGCGCCCTCGGGCGCAATAGCCAAAAGCGCCCGCGGGCGCGCCCGAAACTCGAAAGCGCCCGCGGGCGCGCGCCCCAATCGCGTTGTAACGGCGTAGGACGGGTTCTTTTAATGCTTTTATTATTTAAAAAAGGGCACTACATCGCTTTTGTCGATGCTGTACCCTATACTTAATGTATATCTTCATGTTCCCTGAGAAAATGGTCGTACTGCGCACCTGAAATATGTTTTTTTTTGCTTTCTTGGCTTTAGCTTCGTTTGGAACTTACAGATACGTTCGAATGCGCGATATACGACCCTAAAAGTGTAGCTAATTACCTAATTTCCTTTTTAAACTTCGTAATTAGCACTTACTTTCTTCCCGCTTCCTGAAAACTTTCTTTGACTGGCTTCTTGCCGACTTACTTTGAAACTCAGCCCAAAGATACTGGAAACGTCGCGCTTCGCATTTGCAATGATGACCATGATCGTCTGAAAGGTTGGCTCATATAAATCGAAAATCTATAAATCTGAAGCTAAAGTATTTTAAGTTTCGAAGGCATTGGTTGCGTAGCAAAACTTTACCTTCGTTACCTGTGCCATGGCGCTTCAAAGTATCGTATTCTACATTCGACGACCATAACCAAGCGAACCTAGTAACGTATTTGTTAATTTATATATGTTTTGAACATAAATAAGTGCATAATCCAGGAACTTAGCCGTTTTTTCGCAGACTTGAAAGGTGTTCACCATTCAAATGCGCCCGCGGGCGCGCCCCTAGTTGCGCCCATGGGCGCTTTTTGCGCCCGGGGCGGTTTTGCGCCCTTTTGCAAAAAATTGCGCCCGGGGCGCAAAAGGGTCCAGTTCGGGCGCGCTCGCGGGCGCTTTGGGTTTTCGGGCGCGCCCGCGGGCGCTTTGCTAACCGAGTAAGTTCGCGCAATCGAACTTTGGAAATTTCTTTCTGAAAATTTAGTGGCGAGATTCCGATGTTCCCTCTTTGCATTTACCTATTGGGTTCATGAGTATGTGGGACGAAAATTACAGATTTCTAGCCCCAGTAGTTTTGAAGATTTTTGAAGATCTCTCGAGAGCACTTCAAATTTTTGACCCGGACATCTTTCCGAACCGCCATAAAGTCACCATAGGAACTGATCATCACTATAATAATAAGTTATATCTATCAGCTGCATGCCGAATTAGCCTAAAAAGGAAACCAAATTTGTTTTGTAAAGGCGGGCCGAAGCGATTTTTCATTTTCGCTTAAATCTAGCTTTAAAAAATTCTAATAGGGAAGCAACGCGATTCCGTCCTACACATCGAATAGAGAATTTTATTGCATATCCGTTCATCCAAAAAACATTTTGGTTCTTGCCCGTTTTCCGGTCCGAAAATTACAAAGAAAGAAAAATATTGCGCGAACTTTAGTTCCAACCTAATACATGCCCTAAAACGTTTATTTTTGTTTTTGGCGTTTTCAGCATGTTTACTATTTTTCGCAGTTTTAATAGTTTTTTCATGATCTTTTTCTTTCTTGAGAACGTACTGTGACTCTTTATGCCTCTTGCCACCAGCCCCTATCGCTAAGCAACGACCCAGTCACAGTAGCTCCTCTCCCAAGGTTCCCCCCGTTGAATCGGGAAACATGGCCTGTACATTTCCCTTTCAAAAAGTAAATTCCCTCGTATATCTTGCTTTTTATGAACTTTTTTCCATTTTATGCCAATTTTTCCTTTTCAGGTTCATCAACAAACTCGTCGTCCTGTTACCAAGAACAACAAAATGGCACGGGTTGTGCGGATCCCCGTCCGGGACTCGCCTGATGAGGTGTGTTTTTCTTTCTAGAGATTTAGGAGCTAAAACAAGTTAAAATTATAACATTTTGGTTTTTTGTACTAGTCTGCCCCCTTTCAGCCTGATCGGATAAAGGCGGCGACGCGCCTTTGTATTGAAACATGGAATTTGAGCCAGCAATGGTCGGAAAAGGCCACCAAAACTGAAGAACTGCTTGGCAGCATCGTGAACAAGCGCCTCGAATTAATGTATAACTTGGATGAGGAAGACGAGCAGAAGAAACTAGGCCACGACCGAGTCACTACGCTAAATCGAGCCATTATGGAAGACAGCTTCACCTTGGAAGCGGCGCTCGATGAAATGGAACGTTTGGCCAACAAGTTTTCCCAAGTCGAAACCAGGATCGCATCGCTGAAGGAGCTGAACAAGGCATCACCTGGAGCTCTTCACATGGTTCAAGAGCTTGGCGAAATTGCGAGCCCGATCAAGAAGATGTTACTTGCAGAGACTGGTGCTCGCCGAAAAATATTTGAAGAAATCGGCTCCCATGAAAGCAGGCCGCTGTTCGAGCAGTCGTTGATACTATATAAGAACTCTCCATTCGTCAATACCTCGCTGCTGAATCGACTTTACGCGCTCGTTGCGGATGGCGAGCGAGTGTCCTGAAGAAAGCTCGGAGATTGCCTTGCACCGATCCGGCCCCCGATTATATTCTAATAAATTCTTTTGACAAAAATCCTAGAAATAAAAATACACTATATAAGTCGAGGGTATCCAGCATTTGTAAATTTTAGGAGTCGTTCATCGAATTCAACCTCGTCGATGAAGACATGCCGCTGCTTGAGGATCTCGTCGGCATTTTGAAAAGCGAGCGCGCCCCGCTGCACTGTTGGGTCGACGCAGCGGTACTTTCAGACTGCAAAGTTAAAGGGTTTTTTAGATTGGGTACTACGTGCAGAGGAGGAACGAAGAGTTCATTAAACTCTTGGAAACAGCTGGAGGTTTTCTGCTGCCTTTTTCTTCGATCATTATTATTAGGGGACGCTTTCCTGGAATATCCTGGCATAGAAAAAGATCAGATGAGAGCATTGGACACACTAGCAGCGTTTTACGTTAGCGAGGTAAAAATTCTTGACTTTTTGCATGGGGAAAATTGATAGGGTCACCGGGAGCGCACCAACAAAGATCGACGGAAGGAATGCTTCCAAAAGGCCACTCTTCTCTACACGACTGCTGATAAAATATCAATGTTGGTGCATAAGTTTTTCTAGAGAACGTTTTCTTAGGTATGAGCAAGAGCATCTTTTGGGTCGCGCCTACTTTTGTTTGATTGAAGGCAACAAGATCGACCAGGCCGATCAGCAGTTCAATTTTGTCTTGAATACGGTTAGCTGTCCACCTATTCTAAATCTTTTCTTTAGTCACCGAACAACATCCCGGCGACGCTGGGCAAGGCGTGCATCTTTTACCAGCGCCGTGATTACAAACAAGCGCTTGCCCATTACAAGAAGGCGCTGAAGCAGAAGCCCGATTGCCCGGCTGACGTGCGTCTCGGAATTGGACATTGTTACGCTAAATTGGGCAAAACTGAAAGAGCAAGGTAATGTGCCGGTTAAAATGTATAAGTGTTTTAGGGCGGCGTTTGAGCGTTGCTTGGAATTGGACAAAGGAAATGTCGCCGCAATGGCCGCCCTGGGAGTTTTGGAAAGGAATAGTGGAGACGAAGCTTCCGGCGTGCAACGTTTCGCGATTGCCTATCAGACCGAGAAGACGAACCCGATTGTACTCAACCAGTTGGCCGGCTATTTTTTCGTTCAAAAGGTATCCTGAAGCGACGATCAATTAATTTGCAAATCTGTGTCCAGGACTATGATCGTGTCAAGGAGTTGGCTCTACATGCCTACGGCTTCGCCGACACCGACGAGGTTCGCGCGGACAGCTCCTATCAGCTGGCGCGTTGCCATCATGTTGAGCGGGATTACGAGAATGCCTTCAAGGTGGCTTCGTTCTTCTGACTTTAACTAGTCGTCTTAGAACTATTACCACGCCACTGTCCATTGCCAAAATCACGCTTTGGCCCAGCATGGACTCGGACAAATGTACATCCAGCGTTCGGAGTATGATAATGTGAGATTGATCCGACGATTCTCAACTCTGAAATTCAGGCCATTGGATGTTTCGAAAAGGTCTACAAACTCATGCCGGGCTGTTCAGGCTCTCTGAAGGTTTAAATCTAGCATCTTATGATTTAAAATTTTTTTAGATCCTGGCTGCGTTGTATACGTATTCTGAGACCCCAGTCAAGGACAAGACTGATCGGAAGCAAAAGGCTCGGTGAGGTTCTTGCTTGAAGGTAAACGCGACGTTTAGGGAATTGCTCATCAAGTATCTCGCGATCTCTCCTGATGATGTTGAAGCTCTTATGGACTATGCGCAGCTCACGGAATATGTGGAGCCGAATGTTGGTTTTTCCCGGTGGATCGATGGCACTTTTAGAAATCCCTGGAATCATATCAAAAGGCTGCCAAGCTTCTTCTGGCTGACGGGATCGAGGTATTCAGGTTTTTTAGACAAAGTCGGCTCTCTTTAGGTGCCTGCCGAAATGCTGAACAACATGGGCTCGCTTTACATGAATCAGAACAAGTTCAACGAAGCCCGCAGCCACTACGAAGAGGCCATCAAGAAATTTGAGGTCTGCGGTTGTTGTTTAGCAAATAAACTAAACTCATTACTCTAGAGCGAAACTGATCTGCCCGACAATGACTTTCTGGTCACAATTCGCTACAATTTGGGTCGATGTCTCGAGCACCTTTGCCTTTTTGAAGACGCGGAGAACATCTACAAAAGCATCATTGCTGTCCATAAGGATTATATTGATTGTATGTCGATATTATCACTCCTTTTAAACTTTTCTTTAGGCTATATGCGTCTCGGCTGCATGATGCGCGACCGTGGACACCAACGTGATCCCCTTGATTTCTTCACGGTGAGAGCTACTTCCGGTCTCTAACATTTTCTCTTTTTAGGAAGCGCTGAGGATGGACCGCACCAACCCCGATATTATGACGATGATCGGCAACTGGCACATGTCCCAAAAAGCGTAGGCTTCTTCTCTTCTTCGTCCAAAGCATTTTTTAGCTGGGGCGTCGCCCAAAAGCGCTACGAGTCCATCATCAAGCTGATGCGAGAAGATAGCTTCTCGAATGTCGGTCTTGGCAATATCTGGCTCGAGACGCTATCCGCCCCGAATCGCCATAAGGAAAAGGTAATTTTTAAACCAGAAATTCACGTGTGTTTTTTTCAGGACATTGTCCATGCCGACCGTGCCCTCAACAATTATGCGAAGGCGTTGAAATTACAACCCCGAAATGTCTGGGCGGCACATGGCAGTGGTAAGGGACCATTTGCCCGGAAAAATTCTTGTTTTTAGCGTGCATCCTGGCGATTCGCGGAAATATCCCTGAAGCCAGGAACTTGTTCTCCCAGGTACGATTTCTTCTTGGCGGCTTTATCTTTATTCTAGGTTCGAGAGGCCACCGCTGAATTCTTCGACGTCTGGGTGAACATTGCGCATATCTATGTAGAGCAGAACCAGTTTGTGAACGCCATCCAGATGTACGCGCGTTTTTACCTTCTTTCGCTGTTTAAGAATCTTGCGTTGCTTACCTGGCAGTTTCAGGTACTCTGCTGCCATGAAGCGCTTCAACCGTGAGCACGATGTGACGATGATCATGTACCTCGCTCGCGCCTACCTAAAGGCAGATATGCTGAACGAGTGCCGCGATACGTTGGAACGGGTTCGTGACGATAGAAGAAAAATGTGTACCTCCTTCTTTAGGCCCTCATCGAGCAACCAAACAATGTGTTGGCCAAGTTCGCTTACGGCTACACCCTTCGGAAGCTCGCCACCTATGTGTTGAAGTAGGAATCTTTTGTTTATGGTATTTTATTTTCAGGGATGAGAAATCCTCGCTCGACCTTGTCAATGGCGCCGTTGAAGACTTGAAGACTGCTGAAAGGTAGCCATAAATAATTTTCTAATTGATCCCCCTTGTTCAGAATCCTGTCGTGGCTTTCACGAAACCGTGATGAGGGCTACAGCCAAATCCGAAACATATCAAGGACTCAATGTGGCGAGCAGGTGGTTACTATTTTTCTGTGTAACTATTCGGATCTAGGCAAGATGTTGCGCGGATGTGATCAAGCAGGCAGGCCAGTACATTGCCAGAGCCGAGCGGCAGGACGAAAGCGAACGCCATCTTCGCAAGAAACAAGAAGCTGAACGCGAGGCTCTTCGGGTAGTCCTTCATCCGGTATTTTAATTTCCGTTTTTAGCAACGTATCCTGGTCGAACGCGCTGCCCGCGAGGAAGAAGAGGCCCAAAAGAAGGAGGAAATGGTCCAACAGCGTAGGATGTACATGCAGATGACCAAGGACCTGCTGAAGATGCCTGAGGTAGATTTTAACGCTGATTGATGTAATTGATAGCGTATTCTTTTAGGTAGCGTCTGAGGAAAGGCGGGGCCGCTCGGCGGGTGGCGGCGGAGGAGGTGGACGGGGCCGAAGAAGGAAGGGCGAAGACGGAGAGGAATTTGTCAACGACTCCTCGGATATGGGCTACTCCGATGCTGGAGCTGGTGGAGCGGATTCTGCACCAAGGAGCGAGAAGAGAAAGAAGACAAAATCTGGCAGGAAGCGCTCCAAGAAAGAAAGTGGTAAGGCTTGCTAGCTTTTTTTCTATTCTGTCTCTTAGGCGAGGAGTCAGACGACACGGACGAGCGCGAAGAGAGGCGTCGCCGCAAGAAGGAAAAGGCCACAGCGAAGGCGGAGGAACGTCTTTCGGCAAAGCAACAATCAAAGAGTAAGTTTCTCATGAAATTGGCTTAATTCGTCGCTTTAGTAAAATCCCGCGCCTTCCTCTCGTCGGAATCTGAGTCTTCCGGTGAGGACCACACTCAGAAGAAGCCCGCGGCCACCGCAAGCGATGAGGGAACTCCGCCTCCACCGGCATTTGACGATTCTGACAGCGCGGACAGCAACCAAAGGTTGGTCATGCGATCTTTCCTCTCATTCCAATTTCAGCGCTGGAGCTAGCAAGTCCAAGAAGCGGCGAGCCGTTGTCAGCGATTCAAGCGAAGCCGAAAAATCCGAGGTGCGCCCCCATTGTTTTGCGAACAACAAATTTCAGGCCTCTGAGCCGGAAATCGAGAGCAGCAGCCGGCGCAAGATTCGGCCAGCCTCCAGCTCGGGCGAAAGCAGCGATGGAGGCGGTGGTGGTGGCAAGCCCGACTCGCCGATCCGAAGCCCCGACTCTGATTCTTCTTGATTTCCCCGCACTAATCTCTACGAACATTGCATCAGCGCCTGGTTTTTTGTCGTTCGGTGTTCGTGATCTCCACTTACCACGTATTTATTGTTAATTTGGTGATTTTTGTAAAATTTGTTGCATAAATATTGGAACTGGTCAGTGAGATTTTTTGATGATGCACTCGGACCCGACCATCTATCGGGAAGAATTACATTTGAGCTATCTCACTCAGGAAGGCGCTGGTTCGTTAGCGGGGGAGGAGAAACCTAACTTTCTCCTATAACGGGGTAAGATATTTCCGCCTTTTTACATAAAAAAAATTGTAATTTTCGGGCAATTTGAGTTTTTAGGTCGAATAGTGTAAGAGAAATGGCTTTTCGAGATTTTTTGGCGATCGAAAAATATTAAAAATTCTATAAAAATAGTTTCTGATGAGCCTAACATTGGAGGTTAGGCTGAATAAGGTAAGTTAACTCGCCGTTTTCAGAAATATCGATCAGCCTTCTTCATGACGAGCAGTTTGATATCCTACACGCCATCTTTTGTTCCACACCCGGCACCAGTTTCATAATTCGCGGCCTACCCCGGGGGGATATCCGCATTTAGCTGACCCCAGAGGGGTCGTCCTTATTGATTGGCTGTGGTACCCGTCGCGCGGGCGTCAGGGTGCCTTGGTTCTCCTCTAGCCATGCCTCCCCTTACCCCACTCTCACCCTTATACTCCACTGAGAGTCTAATACCCGGGGGGCTGACCTCTACCCACACACAAACCATAGGACCCTTTGTGTCCCCCTTCTCTCCTTCCTACTACCCTTTCTCTACCCTAACCCGGAATGGGGACTCGACACGCACCCACTCAGCTGTAGTCTCACTGCATACGCACAATTTGTGAATCATCGGATTTTTGCGCTGTTGGCTTACGGTGGAATCGAGCTTGGCTTCTCCGTTGACCGGACTAACCTTTTTTGCGTTATTTCTGCTCATTTTGCGAATTTGGAGGCTAGATACCGTATTCCCCTAAAATAACCACAGGGTTTCTATTTTTTTCACTCCCTGTAGACTGGATTTTATTACAGTCCTATATTTTTCGATCGATCAGAAGAGCGAAAGTAGAAGTTCAACTTGATCGATTTTTGCACCGCTAAACCGCCTGGACAATAATGATACCGGGATAATACATCACCGGGTTCTTTAGGATTTCCGGGGAAGTATTTCTGGGGGGTGGGGGAAACCAAATTTTTTCCTGGTTTTCCCGGTTGACCTAGTAATCAAATATAAAGTGTTTTCACATTGTTTTTAGTAAATTTTAACTATACTTAAAGTAGAAAAACCTTGCAAAAAAGTTAGAAAAATGTTTGAAAAAGTCGAAAATTGGTCATTTTAGGTCTTTCCCCCCCCCGCTAATCCTAAAGGTTCTATAGGATTTTTCGACCTAAAATTAAATTTTTAATTAAAATGTGGGTAGTTTTTGTGCTCAGGAATAGTTAAAAACCATTTAGAAACGCATGCGCTATTTAGAAAAAAATTTAGGCTTGGGCCGAAAAAATTTGGTTTCCCCCGGAAATACTTCCCCGGAAATCCTAAAGAACCCATCACCGAAATTTATATTTATCTTCTGAATTTTGATAGATTTTACCAGGGGAGGGACTTGTATTTTGGCGATATCAGATCAAATACGCGATTTAAAGGGCTGCCGACGGCATGTGTCGATCCCCCCTCATCAGCAAATTGGTAAGTAGCCAACAGGACACAGAGGGCACCCAGGGGAGAGGCGCAGAGACATTTTCTTTTCTGCGCGTAATCGACTGACTATGCCGTCGGCATCCCTTTAAAGATGCTGAATAAATTAATAAACTGGTTTCTAGTCAGTTTTCTTACGATCGGGTATCGACGGGATGCGGAAGTAGCCGAACTACCTCATGCAGCCGGAGCCTATTTTGCTGAACTCATTTTTTCGAGAAAAACCCACCGAGTGTGACCTTGGAGCCAGCGTGGGGTGTCGATCCTAAATGAGGTCCAAGCAACACTCCCCAGTTGCCCTCCCCGACCATCCGTCTCCCCAAATCTTTGCGTGGATCTTAAAATCGAGGCAGCACCTCGGCGAGATGCCCCTAATTGAAGACGGATTGCCAGTTTTTGGTCTAGCGTTCCTTCTAGGTTTAGCTTTGTCGGCCCTCAATTCACCAGCTTCAGGCTTTTCTCGGACTTCCAGACCCACGCACCCTGAAATAACCAAATCAGGATCGTTCTGATTCACTGACCCACTCCCATCTAGGACCTTTATCCGCATTGACTCAGTCGACACCAGTTTGAAGGCGTTCTCCAGGCGGTTGTCGCAGCTGTGTTTGTCTCTGCCGGTCTCTCTCCCTCTCTCTCTCTCTCTCTCTCTCTCTCTCTCGTACCCTTCGCCCACCAGGGCCATTCAAATGCTTGGCCCAGCAGGTGGCCACAAGCCTCGCGCTTCTACCAGCCACCGCTGGGGTCGACGTCCGTTTACGGGATTACCCCCTCCCCCGAGGCTTAATTGGTGCTTTTCTCGGATTACGAGGCTACCCGTCGGGGAATTATTGGCTCAAATAACGCTTCGGTTTCTTGTTTTTACCTAAAAAACGCTTTAGAGTTGATTCTCGTTCATTGTATTAGCTTCACCCATTTTCAGCAATTTTTGGCGGATTTTCGAGGGCAAATTGTCTTCGCTGTTCCTTTAGTTCTTCCCTCCCAGCTATAGTAATACTATAGAATACCTGTTCTCCGGGTGGACCGATTTTCCTCACCGGCGCCCTGCCCCGGTTTTCCCATGAATTTCCATGAATGGCCGATGGCTTGGCGGAATTCTGGCGATATCGCTTCGATACCCGCCGTTCCCATTCTCGTTTTTTGCGTTGATCGAATTTTCTGCCTCTTCTTGTAAAGAGGTACTGGACCGTTAGCGGGGGTGGGGCTAGTTTTGACTGGTCTGCTTTACTAAAACATCGTGTATTTTCGATGTTTTAGTAGTTTTTGGTAGCTAAGAAACTATACAAAAAATTCCTACAACGTTTTGGTCTTTTTTGGTGATCTGGCATCACATCTATTGCCCCCCGCCCCCCGATAACACCCAGGTACCCAGGTACTCTTTGATTTCGTATGAAATTCGCTTCTCAATCCCTTTAGACGATTCACCCAGCGCCGTTCATATAGCCGCATTTTATCTCGCTTTATAAACATTGGGCTCGTTGTTGATCTCCCAGTTTCCTCACATTTTATCATCCGTCGTCCCCCCTCTTTTTGATGTTTGTTGTGGCGGCTGGCGCGCCACTTTTTTACAGGCGATCATTGCTGGGAATGGGCCCGGGGCCGAAGGGCGAACGGGGCCCCGGCCGGCCACCTAATTTGCATCCACACTTCCTTCCGGACGATCCCATGACGAGCGGGTCGGCCGTGGGAATGCTCGACGATTCATAGCCGCCGGGCCGCGGCGTAGTGTTGCGCCTTTTCGCGATTTTTGGCTCGGCAAGTCCGCGAAAATCGAGTCTTACACGGACTCAATTTAGTTACAAAAAATGACTCATTTAATTTTGATTTTATTATTAGATGCGAAATTCTCCCAGCTCGAACGCAGCATGTCAGCATAATTTGCTTAAATTGTACACTTTTGCGAGGCATCATCCTTTTGTATTTCAGCAACACCGTTTCCCGTATTTACTGAGAAAGCATCGCTGCCCAAGAACGTTGTTGCTCATCAGTCATGCTCCCTCATTTACATATCGGCGATACCCCCTTCCTCCCCAGCTAGCGATGTGTAAGCCGTCTGAAAATAATGCATTCATGGTGCCCACCATCCCGGGGGCCTGTTTTAGCATTCATGGGTTACGGGATGCTTTTTTGGGATTTGAATGATGTTGGTGTCAGCGGTGTCATCCGATCGTAGCCATTTGCTTCTGCCCTACAACCCGCATACCCCCGTTGTAGCCACCAATTTCCCGGATCATATTCTGGCGCGTCCGCCGCAATTGACCTTGTTTCGTTTTTTACGGCGATCCTGAGGGCTGGCTCTTCCTCCGAAATCTATCCGCTTCAAACAATGGAAAAACAAATGGCTTTCCCCTAGTTTATGCAGCACCAACCGGGTGTGGGGGAGAGCTGGAAAAGCCATTTATCCTCTGCTGCTCCTCCTCCACCTCGTGCCCAACCGAGGTCCGATACGGTCTCCTCGGCGGCTGGCTAATGTCCCTTTCGCTGCGGGTCCCTTGTTTGATGTTGGCGAGGTGACCTCGGCTTTGTGCCTCCTTTCCTCGAAAGTGATCCTAGCTGTGGGGAGCGGCAGATGTGTGGCTCTTTCCCCCAGTTTTCTGATTCTTCGGCGGCCTATAGTATTGGGTATCTCGGCCGTAAAGATCACTATACTTTACCCTTAATTTTTTCGCTAGAGGTATCGCTTCGTCCTGCGCAGGCTGCAAAGCCTACGACACATTCCCCGAGTCTGAATGCACCCTTCGAAATGAAATTCCGGGTATCCAATTAGTGGGTGGGTGCCGCCCGTCTTCCGGCGTGCCCAAAAGCGTGTGCCAGTTGCGCAGCGCGACAATTTGCGCCCGAGCTGAATTGGCATGACAGACAGCGGGCGAGAGGCCTTCTAATTGACATCCCCACGAGCGGCACCCATCCCGCGGAGGTCTTTTTACTTTTTTCTCCCGGGTGCTGCAAAAGCTTATAGCTTTCTGCGGCACCAAAAACTAGCAAGGAGACTGATAGGTGATATTTACAACGTGACAAAGCTCATTCGATAGCCCTTGGAATTCTGAGCAAGTCGCAAATTTCAGCGGTTGATCCACAATGCTCTTCGAAAAAACGTTTCTCAGTTCGCCAAAATCGGCCCTCGCAAAGCGTTTTGTCCTAGACCGTAATTTTTCAGCAATTTTAAAAGATGACCTATTCTTTGTAAAAACTTCAGCCCAAAACCATTTGTAAGTCAAGAATTTTTTCAATTTTTTTTGTAGTTTACAACAGCGACCAATATTGCCAATAGTAATATGCTGGTCGGGGGGCCTTTGATCGCCCGCTTCCGCTTCTCCCCCCCGCCCCTGATTCACATTTGTATTTGTGTGTGCTGGAGCGGCGCCTGAAATTTGGCGTTTGCGGGGCTCTCCCCCGCGCCCTACGCTGACCATTCTTCCGAACGCTCTTCAATGAGTTGCGCCCCTACCGTGGGCGCGGTCGGGTCCCACGATGGCGCAACCCCGGTCGGGGCTCTCAGTTTGCGGCATTTCCATAATCTCTGCAGGAGCATTAGGTGGCAAACTTGGGTGCTCTAATTTCCCCCGATGGCGCACCCTCTCTGAAGAGCTCAGAGGGAATCGAGTGGGGCCCCGAGGGCAAATCTCGTCAATTTGCATATGGCCCCCGCCCCCAAGGGCCATAAGTCCCACCCAGCAGCTTGGGGGCATTGAGTTCCGCGCAATTGAGCGCGATGTATAGCCGGGGCTTCTTTGTGGACCTCCCCCCATTGACTTTTTCCTGCGACTAATGCATGGTGCCGAGGTCGGCCGATGTGGCCTCTGATACGAGGTCGTTTTCTTTGACATATCTATGCTTTTTGGATCATTTTTAAAGTTAACTCCTTGCTGTTCGATCTCGCTTATCATACGGCGCTCATTACGTATTAATTAGCGCTGCACCGAGCCCTGCTCGTTGCGCAACCCCTTCCGTATCTCTCCTGCACGTTCTTCATTTTTCAATAATTCTTGTTTCTAGGTAGGCCGTGCGGCGCTATCTCGCAAGCTCTCGGTAACTACTCCACGATGAACCGCCGCTCCGCTGGCCCGTTGACGCATGGTGCGCTGCTTTTTTATGATTAATCCATTATACTTTTAGCGGCAGCTATCACCAGCCCGCCGATCGTGCCCGAGCCCCGGCGAACGGTGTCGACCAGCAAATTGAGCGGCCTTTTCAAGACTGACGATGCGAAGGCGTCCGATTCCAAGCTCAACGAGGCCCTTGATGCCATGTCTCTTGCGCAGTACGTTTTTCGGGTCCTGGATTGTAAGGCTTTTTCATCCTACTATATATAAAAAAATAGTGTTTGTGTGTGTGTGTGTGTGCATTTGCATGCAACTTCCGTCAGGGTGTCCAGGGGATATCTCGAGAGGAGATGGGTTTGAGGGGGTGTTTGATACGTCATTAGATGCGTAAGGAGCTGGAGATGACTGCACACATCAGATTTTGTAAAATATGGTGTTTTCGACATTAAAATTAAGTTTTTCTTAAAAATTCCGACACCTACTTTGTTAGGATAAAATTAGCATACGCCGGAAGTCGCTGTAGCCTATATAAAGGCTGAAAGGGAGCGTTTTTCATTTTTGTCATCGGAATTGGGGCACAATTATGCAAAACGAAGAACATCATAGGGCTAGACGGGGCCAGGGTTGAAAAGTCGCGAAGCGGCTTTTCAACCCTGGTGATTCTTTAAAACTGTAGCGTATTTTTTACAAAATTCAACGAATCTAAAAACTGGAGCCCTGTCTCAACAAACTCTATTTTTAGGAAACTGCGCATCAAGGCGGCCGAGACGGAACGCCGCGGCGGGGCCAAGCTCGCCGAATGGGCGCGCAAGACGAAAAACGCGGCGATAAGTGATGTGATCGAGAAGACGTCGAGTGTACTCCAGATGCACAGCGACCTCACCGTTGATCTGGCCCTGCGGAATCAGCAAACCACCGGGGTTTGTTTGACTTCCCTCGTTTCACACAGCTAGATAAGGACGGACGAAATGGTCGTCTATTTGGGGTCTTTTGCGGCGCGTTTGTAAGCATAAAAATTATTAATTTTAAGTCGAGTTGGCGGTATTATCTCCTTATCCAAATCAAAGTCTTCATTGAATCAGAGGATTTTCTTCCAATTTCTGAAGTTTCCCGGCTAGGCTGCTCCGGAAAAACGGTTTCTGATGTAAGCTCCTCGGAGAAATTTTGAGATTTTGCTAAAAAACGAAAGCTCAATAAATCGACTGCTTTCAGGCCTGATTGGATTTGAATCAGATCAACTCTATTCGAAGTACTAAACTTTTTTACCTAGCGTGCCCTTTGGTATTCCATTCTCCAATTACCAAACTTTCTCACGGTTGCCCAATCACGGCGAGCCAATCTTATGACCGATGAGGGGTCGTCGGGGCGCGGGTAATTATCGGCAATGGGGTGCTTAGGGCCCGGAGTGGGTGGGTTGATTATCCGCATGGGAGGAAGGGGGTTCAGGGGGCACACGTTTGAAGATGGTGCGCTATTTGGACGCCATATGTGCGCGGTCGGGCGATGAGTGGACCCGCGCAATTTGATACTCAACCGATCCGGGCATACAGTTCTTTGTCCACCCCCGGGGATGAGTGGCGTACAAGGGAATTTGAATAGACACCCGTTGGTGCTAGGTTGTTACAGCGTGAAGGTCAGGTCAATCAGATTAGTTACCAATGGGATAAATTGTGGAAATTTTATACCTTTCGAAAGATAAATAAAATACGTTCATTTATAATTTATGACTTTTCCAGCTTCTCCGTGGACTATGTGGACGAGGACGCGAGTTGGAAGAAACGGAAAAAGAATATCGGCGACTGAAGGAAAAGGAGGCCAGGCTGCAAAAGGTACAGCGACCCCTGATTTCCTAACCTTTGCGCTTAGGAATTGAATCAGAGGCGCGATCGTACCCGCGCGCAACAGGATGCCCTTGAAGCTCAGCTATCTGATGTATGTGGCCGCTTTTTGGTTAGATAATCTGTTACTTTTAGACGAAGCGTCAAATCAGCTTTACCTGGGAACACCTGCGCCGATTGCGCGGTGACGAGGAAGCTGTCAAGATGCTTCGACTGAGGCATGGCTGCAAGGTGATTGTGTTTCAACTTGATAAATAGCCTATTTCAGGGTTTCGCGGATGCCGGTTTGAATTATACGACGGCCGCGCGCGCCATTTTCTCCACCCAACGCGAGCTGGCCGAATCGATTCCCGGATTAGCAGGTTGGTGTACTCGGTGCTCTTGATGGCGAACTTCCGTTCATTCAGTGCCCGGTGATGAGGTGTTTGGGCTGACATATGATGCGATCCCATTTACACAAGAAAAGATTGAGCAGTTGAGACATTTCCTTGAGTGAGTTTTTTTTTGCGAAAAATGCATCCCGAGTTTTCATGAATACATCCCATAAGCCCTATTTTTTTAGCTCGCTGCAAAAGAACGACGGCAAGATCTGCATCCAACACAGCCAAGAGCGTAGCCAGCTCCTCGGCGGCCCCCGGCGGCGTAGCGAACCTGCCCGGCGTGCCGCAGGTTTTGGCCATCACCCCAGGGCCCATCAAGCTGCAGCTGCCGCGGCACAGTCCATCCCTGCTTCGCCACCCCCGCCCTACACACCGTCCGCACCGGCCGGCGAGATGAATACGGTAAGGGAATCTTGCTCGGCTGGAAAAACTTGTTTTGCATTTCCAGAGCACCAGCTCGAATTCTTCTTCCGGATCTTGTCGCCCGAGCAACAATCGTCTATCACACCCCTCTGCTCCGCAAGCCACACCGTTGGCTAGAAACTCTGGTATCTCGTCATGTATTTTCTTTATTTATCTTCTTTAGCAAATCCTCTGCGGGCATCTTTCCTCCAACCCATCCGTAATGAAGACTATCCTTCAGCGATCACCCAATTGACCGCGTCCGCCGAACGCAAGCGTGAAAATAGGAGGTTGGATTCCTGGACAAATTGACAGTTTTAATAAAAATTTCAGGTCGCTCCCCCCGGCTTGCGGAGGATGCGTGGGTCGTCTCTACCCGGAGCTGCCGACGAATTACTGATGTGCCCTGATTGTGATCGTCCTTGTTTAACCTATGTGCAATCACTTGACATTTCACCCTCGCCCCTCCCCCCTTAATAATTATTCTATTGGTTGTGTTCTACCATTTTGCAGGGGGACTGCGTTTTGTGAAGCCGCTACCGAAATATGGCTCCATTGTTGGGTTCATTCGTATAGATACTCCGAAATTGAGTCGGCGGCCAGGTAATTGGCCCCGATTTAATTTTAGCTACTACAGTTGGAGCAAAATAGTGACCCTGTTTTCTCAACTCAACTCCACCCCGATTGATTTGCAGCTACTCTTTCCCCATGCCATCTGACTTAATGTGTGAATCGTGCCCAGGAATTTTGTGAGCATAATAATATTTGTATGTCTGTACATAGACCATTGTCAGCACTGCCGCCACCGCTACTCGTACCGTACTCTGTGAATAAACCGTATTTCAATTCCACGCTGACATCTCCAGCAAGTGGACACGGCAAACACTGTCCTAATCCGAAATCCCGTCTCCTTGACGGACTTCACCATAGCCGTTTTTGCCTGGTTGCGCAGATAGTGAATCGGGACGGGGCCCACTCTCATTATTCCCGCTGCTCCCAATTTCTACGGGCCGGTGCGGTGTGAAGGCGAGACGGATTATGGGGATTCGTGCTTTCGCCCCCGGCGCCTCCGACGTCTCCCTTCTTTGTAATTGATTTCCGCCATTCATTGGCTGAAAATTTAGCTAAAACAGCCGCGCTCACGTTGAAATACGCTCATTCTTCCCCAAAGCTTTCTTTGATCTTCGACAAATAACTTTCAGCTTATGAGTGGCCGGGCGAAAACGGTTGTATCCATCGTATCGCCACACAAGGCCCATTTTGCCATCTACTTGATTGCTCATTTAAACGTTGGCTTTGTGGTGAGCCCCTTCACAATGACATACAGATGTCCGATTTTGGGCGAGCTACTGACAAAACATTTCAGACCACATTAATCCCGCTGAGCTTCTCCTTCCTGACATGTCGTTCCGGGATCCCCTCGCAACAAATGTTCTGGATCTTCTTCCTATTTTACACATCCCTCTTTGTCGGGACAATGGCGAACGCGTACCTGAATAAAAAGTAAGGCTCACAAACCCACAAAGCTCACGGATACCCGCATAGGGAAAATGAACTGCGAATGTTGATCGTCACAAGTCTGCTGATGGCCACAACGCTGGTGGCAGCAACCTTCGTCACAGACTTGCTATTGTTTACCCTCGTATGTTCCCCTTCTACATTCTAAAGTGAGCGATTTGCAGACATTCGCAGGCCTCGGCGCTTCGATGGGAATACAGTTCTCAGAGATCAACGTATCCTACCTAAAAATGTTCCCTCAGCAGCATTTCTCCTTGCTACACGTTAGCCATTCAATAGGCGCACGAATCCATTGTAGACGCTTCATCTATCCCATTCCCTGGGAGCCTGGCTCGCCTCCCTGATGTTCCGCATTGTACCGAGACCCGACCAGGGAGATTGCCGGGAGTTACTCTTCGACCTGCCTCAGAAGTAGGAGTTGCAAAGAGCAGAACCTAACGCCCGGCAAAAGTTCTACATTCTATTTATTTGCTAACCAGGGTGGAAAAGCCGCTACGCGGCTTTTCACCCCTGGCCTTCGCGCACGGAACTCTCAAAGTTGGGCACTTTGCATAATTCGAGCGAAAAGCGAGAGCGAACCCAAAAACGGCAAAAGCAACCGGCCGCTAGCGCGACAAAATTCGAAATGAGCTTCCTAGC